TCATCATCATCATCAGGCGGATCTGGAGGATCATACCCCGTGCCGGTTCCTTCATCATGCTCGTCCTCTCCGTTCTCGTCGCCAGCTTCATCACCGTCATCGTCTCCTTGGTTTTCCTGAATCGTTTCGGCGAATAATCTCCACTCATCACGATCAGCTCTGAGACGTTGTTCGGCTTTCTGAGCCTTGAGTACTTCACTTCGCAGATCAGCAATCTTCTCTTCGTACTGTTCCGCGATCTCTTTCTCGATCTGACGTCTTCTTGCTTCATGAATGGAATCGTCATAGGCAATAGGGGGACCGATGAGGTCGTTGCCCTTCGTAGATGCGGTAACACCGTCGATGCCAACAGGTCTTGAGGAGCTGGCCGATGCTGTGGACTTCGATCTCAACATCCCGCGATCCCCCAAGAGCTCGCGTAGCTGTCGATCACGCACGGCTGCCGCATCACTTTTCCCATGAAATCCGCTTGGTATGCCGAACAAAGTGGCTGCACTAGGCGTGGAACGCGCAAGTGCTGGGCTGCTAACACCTGGCACGTAGTGCTCGGGCATTGCATCCGCCACGATTGGCATCGAACTGCGGCCAGTGAAGAAGTTTCCACCGGTGAATGGAATTCCGTCCATCACAAGGTTCTTGTCCTTGTCCGATTCCGAGAATTCGAACTTCTCTTTGGCGACTGGACTAACTTGACTTGGGGACCGTATTTCAGGGGATCGTACCTCATCTCCTACGGAAAATGCAGGCATTACATCCTTTCCTAAGTGCTCCCAGCCAGACTCAGTAGTCCTCGAAGACATGGGCATGCTCGAAGGTCGCGTCGCTCCTCCTTGGTGGGAGTTTCGTGCTGCCTCCAATTCGCTGCGTGTCCTCGCTTGGAGATCTTCTTGCGCTTTGAGCGTTTTCCTGAGTTCACTCAGCTCGTCGTGCAAGGTAGGCAATGATAGCCTTGCATGATCTTCATTCTGATGAAGTCGTTCCTCTGCTTCTTGCATCCTCTTCACAGCCATTCTGCGGTACTCTTCCTCTTCACCAAGACGTTCGCGAAGCCGAAATCGTTCTTGTTCAATGGCTGCGCTGTTTCCAGCTAGCCCTTGGATCTCGTTCACAGCCCGCACCTCCTGGTTCTTGACCAAGTGGAATCGTTCCTGCATTGCTTGTAAGGCTTGTTCCGAACTTGCTGTGTTTGACCGGAGGACCAAGTTCTCTCTGGCGTGTTCATGAAGTTCATGAGTCAGACGCTCATACTCACGTGCCATAAGCTCACCATCGCCTTGCGCTCTTGCCTCCAACTGCGCAAAGTTAGTGGCTGCCTCCGTGCGGAACACGTGTAGCTGTTGAGCTAACTCCTCGGCAACGGCATGTGCTTGACGTTGTTGAGCAGAGTTCTGTTCATCCATGCGAAACAAAGCTGTTTCATAGTCTCGCTTCATCTCCTGATTGACCTTGTTGATGTGCCTCATGGCTAAGCATGCATGGTCACGTTGTCGTTCCAATTCTTCAATGCGAATTCCAGATCCTTCATCTTCTTGTTGCATCTCCTTGATCTTGTCCATCAGGGTCTGGACGATTCCTTCGTATTCTTGCACTTGACTGCGATAGTACATCTGCTGTGCAAGGTTCGATGCTTCGAACTGTTGCGAAATCGTCAGTTCCTGGTAGGCATTCGGACCATCAGCTATGGCAGGCGTAGCTACGGACGACGCATCACCACGTGCAGGAATCGTATCCAGAGTCATGTCCAGATCGTCAGCATCGCGTGGTTGATTGGTAACCATCCGATTCCAAGTCATGGATTTGTCACGCCCACGAGTAGCCGAAGTCCTCGATCGTGCTGAAGAGCTTCTCGAAGATGATGGTCTTGACTTCTTTTCCAAGGTCTTGACTCCTTTGTCCTTGGCCCTGGACGTAGTCCGAGGTGCCTGAACACCAGACGCTTCGGCCCGTCGTTCTGAAGCCTTGCCCGTCCTCGAACCTGTGGATGTCGGACGTGAAGGCGTAGATGCTCTTGGTAGACTCTTTGCTTTCCCCTTGGGAACTGCCTTTGCAATGGCAAGCGCAGAAGATTGACCTTTGTCATCTTCCGTGGAGCTATCAACGGATTGCACCACTGTGTCGTCAGCTGTTGACTCACCGACGGCTGGCACTGCCACATCGGCACCGAAAGTCATTGTCGTATCTTGGCTTGATCCTGAGTTCATTGTGGTCGTAGTAGATCAAGTAGTCGTTGCTGTAGAAAGGCAGAGCCGCGTACGGCTGATAACCTGCGTGGGGGATTGATCTCGACTTGGTTGCTGCTCTCCCCACCAGAGCTGTAATGAATGTAAGTGTGGCTGGCTTGCACTCTCCACAGACTGGACCCTGTCTCTCCCTCTTACTTCCACACGTGCAATCCTATGCAGGCAGAACCGGCGGCCGTTCCTTTTGCACTCACTGCCGGCGGCGGTTAGTCTGTGCAACGGGATAGCTCTGATTGCTCAGGATAGAAGACACTTATAGCACTTAGCTATGGGCATTGACTTGAGCCAAACGTTGCGTGGGCGGTCACATAGAAAGGTAAAGATGAGGGATGCGTAGCATGCCCCCTTAGAGTCGAGGGACGCGTAGCGTGCCCCCTTCTCTTGCACTTTACACGGTCTTGCTCACAGCTCTTATAGTGACACCTTAGAACTTGACAAGGCATCGCAGTCCGTTCGCAAATAGTAATAGTAATAGTAATAGTAATCGTAATAGTAATAGTAATAATAATAGTAATAGTAATAATAATAGTAATAGTAATAGTAATAGTAATAGTAATAGTAATAGTAATAGTAATAGTAATAGTAATAGTAATAGTAATAGTAATAGTAATAGTAATAGTAATAGTAATAATAATAGTAATAGTAATAGTAATAATAATAGTAATAGTAATAGTAATTGACGATCCGGGCTCACAGCAACAGAAGGCGCAGAGGCATCCATCGCAAACCGGATCTTCGAATTTTTCTTCGCCTCAACAAACGCATCGTCCTGCTGCAGACATGCTTAGCATCTGTCAGCTTAGGTCTAGCCTTGTCTCTGCTCGGATGTTAAAGCTGAGCTATCTGAAAGCGTTCAGCTAAAACGTGGCCCAGGGGTAAAATCTTCGCAGCCTTCCCCTTAAGCCAAACATCACAAAACTTGCACTTCGACCCCGCACAACATCATGGAATCGATATGCCGCTATACAACTTGTAGCTGCGCACTCACACACTGCTGGGCTTCATCACTCCTCCTTGAGTGCTCCGATCGGTGCACTCACCTCCTTGACGACTGTCCAGACGTCAACAGCTGTGTGTTAAATACTCTTTCGTATTCTTGCGCTCGCTCTAAATCCCTGGCATAGTCCGGGGTCTTATCTGGATCATCTGCAGCTCGATTCACGCAATACTGGCAAACCCGTCTCTGCTGCACTCTTGCCAAGGTGCCTCGATGGCGAAAGGCATGGCAGTCGCCATATACATGAAAGCACTCGTTATCCGGAACCAGAAAAATTTCCTCTGGAGGCTCATGCACGTAGCGCAGAATAACCCTGGTTGAAGGGGCAGCTTGCGGAACAAACACTCCCGCCTGCACTCCACATTCAGCAGTCTCCTTCACCCCTTTGGCTAAGCGCCTAAGTAGCTGCATACGCTCCTCTGCATGGTGACCAGCTGCAGAAGACTGGCTGTTCCTTGGGGGATCAGCCCGCTGCACCAGCGGCTCCCTTGAAGCGTCCTGTCCTCTTTGCTCAATACGGTGACCGGCCCGGACTTCGAGCTCCCTCTGAATCGCATCTGTCGTAGCATCTCGTAGCTTTTGCAACCGACGAACTCTCCTAGACTTCGCTCCAGGTGTTGCTCTATCATACGCCAGCCACATAAGCCACTTCAGCAACTCCCAAGCCAGCAAAAATAAAATCATTGCAATCCAAAGCAGTGCCCACGTAATCATCCCATAATCAACAGCCAAACCAGTCCTAACTACCAAAGCCTCTTCTTCCTCCCAACTGAAAGACTCTCCCAGAACTGCTTGTGACAAAACCAGCAAGGCTATGAGACCTTTCGGGACCTTATTAGGGGCACTGGCTCTGCTGCTGCCGCGGCTGCTGCTGCTTGCTTTTGCTACTGCAATGGTCGGAGCTGCGTTTCCATCATCCCCGGGCTCAGGCTCACGTAGACTCAGAAGGTTGCTCAGCGACCGAATTCTCTGCGATGACAAAGCCTTGGTCAACAAGTCTGCCGGCTGAAACTCGCCGCTGCAGTGGTGGACCGTGATTGCCTGACCGGAGATCAGCTCCTGAACCCAGGCGCTTCTCAAGCGCAAGTGTCGCGTTCTCCAGCTGCCTGACCCATTGGCAATTGCTAATGCCGACGTAGAATCAGAGAACAGCTGGTGCGGCTTCACGCTGGCCTTGATGTCCTGCAGCATAGAGTCAACGCTTTGGAGTGCCAGCACAGCTTCTGACAATGCCATAAACTCCGACTCTGCCGTACTTAAAGTCACTGTAGGCTGCCTCCCCGACCTCCATGCTATAGTGCACCCATGTAGCTGCACCACCCATCCCGTGTGGCTTCTTCCCCCTTCGGGAGCAAAGCTTGCATCGCAGAACGCAGCGAGGCCAGAATTATCACCCTCATAGATCAGGCACACATCTGCGGTCCTCTGTAGGAACCCCAATGTTTTCTCTCCAATCTGCGCCGCTCTTCGGGGTGCTCGGGTTGCCAGGGAACCCACCAATGACGCCGTAAACGCGATGTCAGGTCGCGTTCGCTGGGATACCCATAGAAGCTCCCCTGTCCATTGCTGGGCCACCCGAAGCTCAGCATCCGTATAATCACCATCCGACTCATCAACTGCAAACACCGCCAGGTCCTTCGAAATCGGGATCACATCCTTCCTCAGGCTGGAAAGACCATGTAGGCGAGCTAGCTCCTCAATGTAAGAGCGCTGTGAAAGAGCAAAGCCCTGGGTGCATCGGGAAATCTCTATGCCCCAAAACCTCAAAGGACCAGCTGCAAATCACTGGTCTTCCAGATTGCTCTAATAGCGCGAGCCAGCTCCTTGATTATGGCCGTGTGTCCACAAATCAGCAAATCATCAACATACACCACAATGATGCCGATCAAAATGGATCCCTCCTGAAGCACCGACCACCACGAAGGCTCGACAGTCCCTTGCATTAGCGTCACTCGCTTCCCCTCAAAAACCAGCTGCACCTGAGCCAAGCGGATATCTCGGTACGAACCCCAAAGTTTGGGCGACTCCTGCAGCCCGTAGACTGCATGTGTTAGCCTCCAAAATTCTCCGGGACGACACAAGCCCGCTTTGATAAGCGCCTTTGGCGGGATGCCATAGACTAAGGGTGCCCCCTTCAAAGCCCTCAGGGGTGTCTGCAAAAAGGCCGCAACCACATCTATCATTCCCAGATCCCAGTTGAAGAAGCGAGCCAAGGCTATTGCAGCTCGAACGATTTCAGCTGGCGCTGTATTGGTATACACCTCGCCGGGTTGGTGTGAGGCGAAATTGCCACACACCACGATCCTTGACTTCCTTTTGTACCAAACACTGGGGGCCTCTCCATCAGCAGGAGGGTCCGGTGGCTTCACTGTGTAGACTACTTTCATTGGCAGCACCTGTCCACGTCCAGACTCAATATCCGCTCGAACTTCAGGATCTGCCCCATCAACTCGCTCCACAGCATGCTCCAAAGTCTGAACCTCTTTGCCCATGGACGGAATCCAACGCTCAAAGAAGCGAGCTACCTCCCGAGGATCGACTGTATGAACAATGCTGAGCGGGCTCTCGAGGGACTCAAGGAGCAACTCTACATTCTCAGTGAACCCGACCTCCGCCTTTGCAATGAACACATCTTCACTTGCCAAAGGTACAACATGAGCCACATCATCACACCCGCCTTCCAACACCAAACACAAATCTCCATAACACCATTCTTCACATTGAACTTCCGGGGAACTACTGCAGCTCTGCTGTCCTTGATCACACGGAGAAGGAACTTCAGGATCACGCTCGGGTAGAACTTGAGTAGCTGCTTCCTCAGCAAATTCTGCTATCTCCTCCTGGGACAAGTCCAAGATCTCAGCCTTATTCTCAAAAGCGCTAAGGACCTTGATCATGTTGATATAGATCTCCGACTTAGGCTCCTCCTCAACCAGTTGCAAAGGAAACCCTAGGTCCCATAGCAGCTCTCTATCTTGGCTGTTGAGATTTTGCAAAACCCCAGGTGTGTAACCAACCACCACCAAGCGCTCTCCCTTCCATGGAAGAACAGCGTAACGCCTGTGAGGATTTAGATGAAACACTCGACCTTCTTGTAAGGGGTATGCGCAACCATATCTGACTCGACCATCTTGGGATTGGAGCTCAAGTATTCTACCAGACACCACATCTCCATCGCGAAGTTCTTGCCAAATCTCACCACCCCGCCTAGGCATAACAACCGGAAGGATATAGTTCAAGGTGCCCATGGCATTGTTCCGATCAACATGAACCTCCCTTTCGTTGTTGACCGAAATGAAGATGGCGGCAAACTCGGCGTCGGGTGCCTTTTCCCTCAGCAAACGAAGGGCTATTTTTGCCAACCACGGTCTCTCAATCGTTGCCTTTGTAACACCTACTCGGCCACCAAACCTAAACATGCCGTAGTTGTTCTCCGTGGCAGCTAAATTCTTGCCGGCCTGGATGACAATGGCCTCGGCCTCCTCCTGCGACCACTCCTCAAGGATCGCCTCAGCCCACTTTTGGAGCCCTTCATCCTCAAAGATCGTCACCTTCGAAACCCCAACCACATCTCCAGATCCAGCTGACTTGCCTCGTACTCTACGTTCTGGTGGTCCTGGCTCTTCAACATGGAACCCTTCCTCAACGGGGCCTGGATCCCGAAGGCCGGCTCGCACATGTAGAGTATGGACAAACTTCTCACCCTCATCATTCGAAATGAAAACCAAATGGCCTTTACTGAGGCTTTCTGAGCGACCCACATAGACACCTTGCACCCATTTTGGCGCCAAATCGTCCAACTTAGGGCCCTCTAGCTGTCTTTTGCGCACCATCACTTTGGAGCCGTACGGCGCCGCAAGCATTGGCTCAAAGCCCAGAACGTCCGACCTTTGGATGGTGGCGGCCGTAGCCACTGCTGTAGGCCATAGGTGTTGTGGTAGTCCGGCAGATAGGAGTAGTGTTCTTGCCCTTTGCTTTATCCACCGAACTGTGGACTCTGCCGCCCCGTTGGTTTGATGCACGCCCGCTTCCGAAGTCGTAACACGGATGCCCTGGCTTTTCAGCCATTGCTTCGTGCCTCTTGCCTGAAACTCCATACCCCGATCCGTGTGGAAGCGAAGAATCGGGATGTTGAGGGATTGGCAGTAAAGCACAACGTCTTGCACCGCCTCCAACACCGTCACTGCCTTATCATCACGGATCCCCGTTGAGAAAATCAAGTTCACAAGCTCCGGGGCAGCAAGATCCAAATCATCATCTGGACCAACCTTTGCTCTTAGGGGTTGGTCTGGATCATCATCTTCTTCATCGACTTGTCCAACTACATCTCTAACTTCTTCTCCAGACGGCCCCTTTCCCTCCGATGCTAACCCATCGTCCTTGTCGTCGTACTCCTCCGCCTTGATCTCACCTTCATCGTAGTCGACCCATGCGCCCCTGCCGTCCTTGGCACGCGAAGCTTGGCGACAAAGATGTACTTGAAAGCCTTGGAAAACGCTCCTCGCGCATCTGGATCTACTCCGCCCACCTTGACAGGACCAGAAAGGTCAGCTGAGAGCACAAAGGCGGACGGATGCTCCACCCTCGAGTGGCGTCTGCCGGTTCCCCCGGCCTGAACACACACAGTGCAATCAGCCCTGTACGGGAGGTGCCCTCGACGAACATGGTCCCTCCATTGCTCAGCACTCATTCGCAACATACGAGGTACCTTGCCCCAATTTCTCAAGGCGATCACAACATGTTCCACAAACTTTGGAGGCCATACTGCAGGAGGAGCCTTTGTAGAAACCGGGCCATCAGTACGGTATCTCATTCTCAAGCCATCCAAATGCCGAAGAGGTAGATTAGTACCCAGCGTGGTATGGCGCGTAAAGTATTTTCCCAGAGCTGCCATATCGAAGTTGTACGACTCAAGGCCAGCCTCGAGGGCGTACTCGGACCACAGCGGAGTCCTCCAGAAGCTCACCACATCGGGGTACAGCGGATCACCGAACTTTAAGTAGCCCCGAGGATCACGAGGGTGCTCAACCAGGAACGCTACTTTTTTAGAAGACTCCGGATCGCTACTTGCTCTCAATCTCCCAGCGGTTGCAAGTGCATGTAGATAGAGCATGGTTCACCTGAAACACATCTGCGTCCGACTGTCCATTCCAGTTGCCGTAGGGGTAGTCATTGCTTCTCAAAGGTTCGGGTCCCCCAATCACATGTCGCGATATCATAAAGCTTCCTTGGGGAGGACCTCCTATAATTCCAGCTATCTTCCCTTTCCGCGCAGCAAACTCTAAAGCTCTCCACACTGAAGGTCTCAACACATCCTGGGTTCTTCCCCTTGAAATGTCCAGCTCAAGCACTGCATAACCATGCCCTTCAAGGTGGCGGAATTCGGGCCTATCTCGATCTCCCGAAAAAAGGTGCACCAGCCATTTCTTGGATGCCCATAACCTTTTGCGTGTTCGGCGGTTCAAGTGCTCAAGCCCCTTTAAAGCCTCCCATCCATTGGATTCCGGGATTGCCTCCGCCAAACCTGCCACACACTGTCGAGGAACATCCTGAAGGAAAGGCGCTGTTTCCACCGCCTTGAGTGCTTCACTTGATAGCTCTCCGTCCACATACGACAAGAGATGATCGAACCACGTCCGCTCCATTGCCAAAGCCGCTGCTCGAACCCGCTGGCGGGTTTCCTTGGTGCGGTTCTTGAGGACTTCCAGATTGTCGTCCTCCAGGCGGGCGATCAGCTTTAGGGCATCTCTTTCAGTGATCTCTGGGCACCCTTCACGAACTCTAAGGTTGAAGCTCTCACCGTTCCGCCCTTCCAGACGACACTTGTTACTGCTCCAGGTCATTGTGTATCCCAGCTGTCCAACTAACGCACCAAGGGGAACTATGGGCGCCGTAGACGTGAAGGTAGTAGAGGACGTGATTGGGACCAGGATAGTGCCGGCCTTATTCATCTTCAAGAAGATCGACTGACCCCCTGCTAGGTTCACCGTCACCGGGCTTGCATCCTGCCACTCAGACTCAGATTTCGCCCTTCTCAGCGCGTGGGTAGCACCTGAATCAACCAAAGCAAACACCTGCCCGTCGCCATCAGAACTGCTCAGGGCACACTGTTGCTTCAGGGTAACAACATTGATTGACGGTCCTGGGCCTTGGTTTCCTGCTCCAGCAATCTTTGAAGCAGCTTGAAGTAGCGACTCCAAGGTCCACACTGGCTCTCCTGGAATCACCCCAGCCGATCCAGCTCCTCCTGGGGAAGATTCCCCTTCCGGCTCCACCCTGTTCACCTTTGGAGAGGTTGTAGTAGAGGACGAAGAGGGAGCTGTTGGGGATGTTGTAGGCTGGGTAGCTGTAGATCCTCTGGGCCTGTTCTGCTTCGTGGGGCAGTCCTTCTGTCTGTGCTCTTCACTTCCGCAAACAAGGCATTTACGGGCTTTTTCGTGCTTCGGGATCGTGGACAAATCATGCACATAAGGACATTTTTGGCCTCGTCGGCAGCCAGCAGGGCGGTAAAAGTATTTGCACGGGGACTTGGTAGCAGTCGTTGTGGTAGCTGAGCCGGCTCCCGTAGGCGATGAGGTTCCTGCACCAAACGCTTTCACCGTAGGAGTCCTCATCGTGGCAGTAGACCTAGATGTCGCTGTAGATTCTAGCTCTGCTTGTAGATGTTGGTGGTACCTCCTGACGTCATCTAGACTGGGTTGCCCGTCTATTCGCAAAGTCGACCGAAGCAACTGCGTACGGAACTGCGCATCCCCGCCCTCAACAATGAATCGGGAAGTAGCTGACGTCAACGTCTTGGCCAACACCGTTCCATCTGGACAAAGCATGTTCAAGTCCTGACATCTCTGGATCCATCTTGGCCAACTCCGCAACCATGTTAGCACTTCTTCCAGCGTTTCACACGAGGCTGGGGTCTGCAAATTCTGTAGCACCAGCGTCTTTTCCGAGGCACCTCCAGGTTGATAGGTCGTGTGAAGTCGAAACATAATGAGGACGGCGTTCTGGACAACACGTCTGGCAATGAGATCTTGCCTTACCGCTTCACTCAAGCTCTGGAGTAGCATCGAACACGCTCGGGCGTTCACCCGGGTCCATCTGCCTTCAGCCAAAGAGCCACTGTTCGTAGGTTGCAGCTGTAACCGCTCTAGAGGCGTGCGCCCGAGCCATGCAGAATATGTGGTCTGCACCAAAGCCATCACCTTAGACCACCATGACCCCGAAGACGGAGAAAGATCCTGCATTGCGACAGTCACTTGTGCAATCCAGTCCTGCAAGACTATCCCGGTGGATTGACCCTCGGGAGCTTGTAGCAGGGGAAGAACTGTGACCGATGACTTAACAGCCTCCGGTGAGTCCTCCTCCAGCCCTTTCTGCAAGGAGCGCGCCTGCATATCCTGAAGTTGTGTCATGCTCTTTGTCAGCGCTTGCAACATGGCCATAGTAGCATCCGGCTCAACCCCCGTAGCTTCAGCGGCCGGATCCTGAACTGAAGCTCGATCCCGTCCTTCATGCGGATCAGTCCCCTGGCTCCCGGCTCTCCGGGCTGCAAGTTCATTGCAAAGGGCTCCCAAAGGATCTCGCCATGCATCTGAGGAAGGTGGATGGGCTACAGGGGGATCTTCTCTAGGTACGCGCTGCCCATGCCCACGAAGGGATCCCTGATCCAGTACTCGTGATACTCCATGATCGCACCCCTTAAGTACTCCCTGATCAGGTACCCGATCCGCTCCTTCACTGCTCTGCTCACACCCTTCACGAGCTTGTCGCGGTTGTGACTGGGCCTGCCGGAGCTGCGTCTGTAACCGAGCATTCTCACCTTCGACGTAGCTTAATCTATCCAGCAGACCACTAAGTTGTCGTTGAACTTCGGCTTGTATTGCTTCTGCTGGTATGTCGCTGCTGCTTGGGGTAGTTATAGTAGGGTTAGCTCTTACTCCCTTAGGTCTCATACCCCCAACTGCTTCTCCCACTGCAGACGACAGTTGATCAGGCCCTGGTGCTCGCGGCGGATCCTCAAATCCTGCAGTAGCCTGATGAAAGATACTCCTGGGCCGCGGTGGCGATTGTAGCGGGCTTGGTAACCATGTCACCTGGGGTCCTCGGAAAAACTCACCAAGTCTAGCCACCCATCCCGGCACGCCAGTTTGGCCTGCAGGTCTCTCAGCTTCCATCCTACAAACAGATGTAGCTCTCCTCGAACTTGGTGTTGCAAAAATCCCCGATGTATTCTCCACCTCAGACGACCTGAATGCAGCCTCTCCCATAGAACGCTCGGCTTGATCAGCTGATCCTCTTCCACTTGCACTGGCTTGGCCAGCGATGTCTGTGCGAAGCTGCGATCCCTGTAACAAAACCTGCCCTCGTCCGGGGTCCTCGCTGCGCTCACCGTCCACTGGTCTTGTAGTCGAGGTCATAGCCGACTGCAGAGTCTCCGCCGCCGCTTGGGCGTCTCCACCGCCATTACCGCCTCCTCCACTACTTTCGTCAACTTGCATCTGTTCGGATCGAGGGGGCAAACCCTGACCCGAGCAAGATGCGCCGGTTTCCTCCTCCACTGGCATTGCCGCCAGTCCACTGGCTCCATCCGAGCCGTTTATCTGCGGAGCCGCAGGCTGAGCTTGGGCGCTCATAACCTGACGATCCGGGCTCACAGCAACAGAAGGCGCAGAGGCATCCATCGCAAACCGGATCTTCGAATTTTTCTTCGCCTCAACAAACGCATCGTCCTGCTGCAGACATGCTTAGCATCTGTCAGCTTAGGTCTAGCCTTGTCTCTGCTCGGATGTTAAAGCTGAGCTATCTGAAAGCGTTCAGCTAAAACGTGGCCCAGGGGTAAAATCTTCGCAGCCTTCCCCTTAAGCCAAACATCACAAAACTTGCACTTCGACCCCGCACAACATCATGGAATCGATATGCCGCTATACAACTTGTAGCTGCGCACTCACACACTGCTGGGCTTCATCAGTAATAGTAATAGTAATAGTAATAGTAATAGTAATAGTAATAGTAATAGTAATAGTAATAGTAATAGTAATAGTAATAGTAATAGTAATAGTAATAGTAATAGTAATAGTAATAGTAATCGTGGATCAGCTGATGGGTTGGCCATGGCTGGAGATCAGAACGACGCACTCCTTTTGAACGATCGCAAAGAAATGACAGGTAAGTCTGAGGAATTTCGGTCTTATGGGTTCATACCCTTTCTTGAAAAGACGGTATGCCTTGCCCAATCTTCCTTCAACGTGTAGCTCTATGAGCCACAGTAGCTGCATCAGCAGCAATCTGCACAATCCACAATGCGCGCTCCCCCTGTGTGAAGTGTTTCACTTTATACACTTACGGAGAGAAAAGCGTCTTTTTAAATCGCCCCTTTCAATGGGCTATGCTTGTTAAATCGCCCCGGATGGGCAGTAATGTGTACAATGATTCAATCTACTTCATGCAGCTGATCGCTCATCGGATAAAGTACAAGATACGGCATCGGTCGCGCAGTCTGTTCGCAGAACTTCACTACGATGACCTCTTCAGTGAAGTCAGCCGCAACAGATCTGATGAACATTGTCAGCACCGGAGGTCCATACATGAGTGTAGTGCGCTCAACTCGGTACGACACTCCAGTACGAGACACACAGGCACCAAATACACCCTGCATTCTGTACCTGGCATATAAGAAAGCCAACATCGCTACGTCATACTCGCCAAGGTTGATGTGCTGCCACTCACGAAGCTCGGACAGACCTCCAGTTGTATCAAAGAGATCACTTTCAGCTTCATCCAGCAGCAAATACCAGATTGTCTGACGAGCTGAGCCACTATGACCCTCATCGTAGAAGGAGATATCCAAAGGCACAGCTGGAGGCCTCAAAGCATCCAAAATTTCATTGTTTTCACGAACCTCGCTGTCTGGATCCGGATCTTCAATGTACGGCCGAGCAGGCGTGAAGCTGACTTGAACGTTCTCTCCAGGCTGCGAGCCCGAGGGCATAAACCAATTTGCAACCTCAGCTGCATCTCTGTAACCCTGATTGTTAGAATTTTGTTGTTCTGGCAACAGCTCCAGACTTGGCAGCTCTTCGTCTTCTACTAACTGCAAACGATCATATGCCAAAAAGGCACTGAGCGAACGCAAGTTGGGGAACCTAATTAGCCCGTGGAACCAACTATAGCCTATCACCAGACTTAACATGACCCCTATGACGATCCCAAGGAGGAGCCCTCCTAGAAAGGAGAGCTGCGACCCCTGCACATGCTGCACATCAGCCACACAAGTGAGGGTCTCTCCACGCGCAGGGCTCACACCGTGCAACAGGACCAAGGCTCCAACCAGCGCTCGGACTTTGTTAAGGTCTGGCTTAGGGCTTATTGGGGGCTCAGGCTTATCAACACCTACTTTGCTGGGCACCTCTCCTAGGTCTAAGTAAGAAACCAGGGTCCAAAAGCGTGCTGCTGACAAGGTTTTAGTTCCTAGGTCAGCTGGCAGAACACTGCCTGGGACATGAAACAGTTTCCACTTGTCACCTAGACGCTCCCGTAACCAGGACCCCCGAATTCGAAGGTGACGTGTTCTCCAAGGGCCCCCCGCAAGTTGAACAAGTGAAGTTGCTGCTGTATTGTCCGTATAAGACACTATGGTGATTTCTGTCTGTTCCAGTTCATCCAGAAGCGGCTGCAAGGACGAAGACTGCTGCGCTGATTCGACTAGGGCTATTAATTCACTCTCCGCCGTCGATAATGCTACGAACGGCTGTTTAGACGAAGTCCAGGCGACCACTGCTCCACCGTAGTAGTGAAGCGTGGCCTGGTGACTTCGCTGACAAGTTGGAGCAAGACTGGAATCTGCGAAGGACTCAAGCACAGTCTGCTCTCGCAGCACGGGCCACTGGTCATCGGGTCCATTATTACAGGGCGCCTGTCCATACTTCAAGCACAATGCTGGGAAACGACGAAGATAACGAATAATCATATGGCATCTCATGAGTGCTTCGGAAGGATTGGAGTGAAGCAAAGAACCCGCAACACTGACACTATAGCAGATCTCAGGCCTGCTATGGGTACTTAACCAAAGAAGTGCCCCTACGGCTTGCTGGGCTAGGGACAGCTTTTCACGAAACTCGGATGCGTTAGGGTCTTCAGGGTCTAAGTTAGGGTCTAGGGACTTAGAAACAGGTACCTCAGACAGACCTTCGACATGTGCGTAACGATTCAGCAGCTCGCTCACAAACCTTCTCTGGTGCACCAGCATTTGGCCATCAGACGTGTACTCAATCTCATACCCGCTGAAGTCTATGGGACCCTGACTCAAGAACTTGGGAGACGACACCTGCCAAAGCGCTGCCACAGACTCCAAAACCGTGGTCACTACAGAGGTTTGTCCGAAGCACAAGAGGTCGTCCACATAAATCGCCAATATGGCGATTCGACCCTCAGCACGTGTGCGGATCTCCCACAGATTAGAGTCCGACCGAAGCGGTTTCACGGTCGCACGCTCACCGTTGATGACGACATTAAGATCTTGCTCAAGAGATTTATCCCTGAAGGTACTCCAAGACTTGGGACTGATTATCAATCCGTATAAAGCTTTATCTACAGCCCAAAAGAACTCGGAACCGCACCCAGCCATTCGAAATATAGCGGGGACCTTTACTATGATTTCAGTGCCCGTTTGGATTAAAGGCGCTCGTAGAAACGCTGTTTTGATGTCGAGGGCAGCTCCGTCCTGCTGACGAAGCGCGGCATAACGCAGCAGGCAACGCAGCGTTACTGCATCTATGCCTCCAGAGTACTTGTCAGCTTTGGCTACAGCACTGTCATTCAAGTAGTTACCGCAGCAGACCGATCTACATTTAAGGCGACCATTCGGAGCCTTGCAAGAAAATATCAGCTTTGATGGTATAAGCTCGTACTTTTTACCGGACCGTTTAAGATCATCTAGGTATGTCTGACTTATGGGGCGTACGGCTTTCGTCTCCTTCACCAGACTGTCATACTCAGACTGGATTGCGGGCTTCCATCGCGGCAGATCTGCAAGGACTTCCTTATTGGGAACGATTTTTGTCTGTAGCTGCTCGGCTGCCGGTTCCGCATTTGCCCTGGCATGTTCTAAATCATCCTCGGCAGACTTGACAGCGTGCGCCGCCCGAATAAAGGCCTGCAAAGGTCCCGCGTCGTCAGGGCCTTGCGCGACACCTTCATTCCACGCGCTGGTTAACGCCTCCAGAGCTGACGACCCTTCATCAGCAAGCCTCGCCTTCATCAGCGCATGCTTGACATCAAGTGCTTCAGACACTCGCTCGTTAGTGCCAAGCGGAGTTTCAGATGCAAGGAGGTCATACTGCACCAAGGAATCCGAGCTGTCACCGTGTAAAGGCGACAACCGGGATATGCAATGTGGCACTAGAAACAAGTCCTGTACTTCGGGGCAATCCTCATCATTGGACCCATCGCCCTCAGCTTCATCATCAGACTGTTCACCGCCCCGATCTAAACACGATAAGGCTATCTCAAGAGCACAAGGGTCGACATCAGCGCTCGACAAGTGCTGATCAGTGCTATCATCCGCTACATCCCCGGCAGCTCGTTTAATCCACTCATTCAACTCAGCGAAACCCGCATCGGAAGGCAAAGGCACGGGCAGTGGCGGCATGCCAACACACCCGGCAGAGGACTCGGAAGGGACAGGTACGGGCGGTGGCGGCATGCCAACGCACCCGGCAGAGGACGACAGAGACGGCTGATGCTCATGATGCGCGTCGCTGGTGGTTCCCGGTTTGGTGCATTCAAACCGGGAGGCGGCTACACTGCGAAGGGCAGCGACCCTCATGTCAGGACCCGGTGGCTCTAGATTCGGAGGACGACGCATCTGCACATCAGCACCGTCATTTACCCGAGCTAGACGCTGGCGCTGCCACACGGACACAACTTCTTCTCCTCCATCAACCTGGCTTTCAAAGGCAAAGCACCAGATCAAACTGTCATCAGACATGAGAATGGTTTCACACGCCGTCACAGCCCCCAGCACTACGGGGTTTCCATCTTCATCATCAAGAGTTAATTCAGGCTCCAAACCCCAATCACGATCCCGCTGGACATACAGCGCCGGTGGAATGGCATCTGTTAGGCTTTCTACCCGGTCCAGAGTAATCCTCAAGGGCTGCCAAGCACTGCGATCCTGAACCACAGCTGCAAGAGTTAAGTCATCGAAGACAGCTCGAGGCATGCGAGATACAAACAAAGCCGTTTGAGGTCTGACGATTGCCCGATCAGGGAGCCGAGAATACAGTTGAGGAGATTCCCCAACTACCTTCCTAATCTTTATGGAGCTTTCGGTTTCTCCCCCCAGCTTAGAGCCAACGTGTGTAGGATCGGCGCGAAATCCGCTGCACGACCGATCGGCGCGAAATCCGCTGCACGACCCAAGCTCATCAAACTGCCCTCGGAGAGGAGCGACCTGCTGAGTGGATTCATACGGCTGAATTTTAGAATGGACCAGCGGGGCTCCCCCCAGCTCCGCATGAGACGGCGCTGCACAAACGCTGGTAGATGCACACCTCACAATGTCACTGTCGGGGGTGATGCTTTGCAGCAGAGAAGGAAGGGAAAAACCCAGGCCTGAGAGATAGGAAGCATCAGGCAAATCAAGACGCGACTTCGCACCAGCTGTATAGGCAACTAGAACAAGTCGATTTCCGGTGAAGGGTTCTGTAGCGTGCCAGAGTTTAGGATTGATCTCACACGGCAGGCCTGGCGGTAAAAGCTGGCCAGCAATGGCCTCACCAGCTGGGGTATAACGAACCGCAGGCTCACCACGCACAGACTCGCCTTCACTCAGTTGTGTCCAAATCTGTCCCCCTGAGGTTGGCTTCACTACGGGGATCACATAATTTCGGGAACTATCCGCATTGTTACGATCTTTGTGAATGGTGGAGAGAACATCTTGAAGGATCATGACAGTGGTGTATGTAGCGTCCGGGAAATGATGCTGGATGATCTTAGCCAGAAGCGCCGCCGTACTGGGAAGTTGACGGCAGGCAGCCGTAAGACCCCCAATTCCACCATAGCCATACACCCCGAAACCAACCAAAGCGGCTGTGTCGCGCTGATGAACTCCGACCTGAAAACGGGATCGATGCACGGGCACACTATTCCAGGGGAATGCGGCGACAAATCCAAGGGCTGCCGTAATGTCAAAGTGCTGAAGGTGATCTTGGGCAAGATTTTCTAGCCTGTGCAAATCTGACGACAAGAGGCCGAGTTTCTCGATGCGCTGTTTGCCCCGAAGGCGCCTCCGCCCAGGATCACCAGGTGCAGGAGCTCGCTTCCCCGTGATACGCCGATTAGGCGCTGGACGCATGCCACCGGGATCTTCAACATGAAACGCCTCTGCACTGTCAGCCCTGACTTCGGTTACCAATGCGGACGTGATGACTATTTCTCCACTCTCCAACAGAACCAGGTGTCCCTTGACCACCTCACTACTTGGGCATACCACCCTACCAACCAAGGTTTTAGAAGACCACCTATCTTTGCGCCTGTCCCACGACCGCCTCTTGATGTGTACGTTTGTGCCGAAGGGTAACACCGACGGTGGTGAATGATGACCAACACGCTGAAGGGCTTTCTGCCGAAGTCTAGCGGCTGCATGCAACATAGCGAGAGGCCAATACTCCCGCCCAAGGTGCTGATCAATCAACAGTGACCGCGTGACCTGCTTGACGCGAGAAACCGCTCCTTCGACCCGGCCGTTGCTTTTAAAGTCGTCTGCATCACCCGTTGTCTTGTACACACCACGCCTGGCACAGTAAGCACGTAAGCGAGCATTGCAGAATTCACGACCGCGGTCGGTGTGCAGTCTACGAATGGGATATCCCAGCGACTCAATCTGCGTCATCACTAAAGCAATGGCATCTTGGACTGGTGATTGCGACTTATTGGGCAATGGCACAACATACACCAACTCTACAAGCTTCAGCCGCTCAACTTTATGTTTCGCAATCTCAGCCCGCCACTTAGCATTGCAATCATCTTCAGCAGACACATCACCGGCAGGTAACGGCTCATCCTCAAGCAGAGGCTCAAGAAGAGCAAGGGGGTCATCCCGCGGAGGGTCGTCACCTCCACCATCCGGACCAGGTTCCCCGGGCTCAGACATCAGCTCCAAGATATCAAGAGATTCCTGATGACTCAGCTCTCCCCACTCATCACCACACCTCTCGCCATCATCTTGACTAAACAAGCCTGCGGGGTCACTGCGATCACAAGAGGCCTGTTCCTTCGGTGGGGGTGCTGATTGCGCATCCGTGTTAAGGGGAACATCGGCCGGAACAGTAAAGGTGGCTACTAAGGCCCACGACGCCGTATGATAGTACTCATCTTTACCAGGACTATACTTGCCAATAAGGTCGGCAGATAGGGAAAAAGCTTGTGGACACTTGATACGCCTATGAGGTCTAGACTTCAAGCCCCCGGCCAGGCAAGTGGCGCAGTCGCGCCGCCACGGAACGTGATCATCTAGAAGATGGCGACGGAAGGACTCATCAACTCCTGCTGCCTTTTGCAGCCGCTCAACTCCCCCACGTTCGTGGAACTGCAAGCTGCAAGTTAACATGCTACACAGCGCAGCGATAACAAGTTCCGCCGAAGAGCCCCGATTATTCAACAATGGCCCATGCTCTATCACCTCAGTGGACGACGAACCCTGCTTTACGACATCCGGAGCCGCAGCATTTGATGCGACCGCCCCATGTAACACAGATTCAGTAATCCAGGTGTGTGGAACGATGGCGGTGTGTTTCTGGAAACTCTGCCAAGTCGGCAACTCAGAAAAGGTATTGTGATGATGCGAGACGCCAGGCTCAGCAACGAGAATGAATGGCTCACTTACAGCATGCCTTTTAGCAATCAGCCAGACAAGCAGCATGCGCATCAAAACCTGTTCACGACAGGCATCTGTATGCTCCAATTCTCCCCAAACACCCAGAATTTTACCGCGAACTGCCAGTCCAATCAAATATCCCCACACCTCCTTATCAAGGATCGATCGCTGTGCATCCAGCTGTAGCACGGCAAACCCGTGATCCTGAATGACAGACTGGCACTGCTTGGATACACCCTTTGATCCAAACTGCACATACAGACCAGAAGCCTGCTGATGCGACCTACGGTGTCTACGATTCCACGGCAACTCATTTGCGTTCCAGGTCACGTCAGACAAGGAAGACAAGGTTTTATGCGAAGCTTCTGAAAACAAGCGCTGGATGCACAAGTACATCAAAGGACCATGATTGGGATGATCCGGCTCCAAATTATCCAACGCCTTCCACATCACCTCAATTGGCCAAGACACAGTGGCGTGTCCAATCCTGGCCACGCGAGCCCTTTTCCGTGCTGCTTCAAGGTTATGGGCCTCGATATCACCAATAAGGTTACGGGCAAGTTTAGGAGCAATTTCCGGGCACCCGTTGATCATTTGTGCACGGATAACGCCACGAGTGGGATGTCGTAAGATGCACGAAGATTCAGCCCACTCAAGCCGACAGCCTATTTCCACGAGACGACCCAAGCTGACAATGCTTTCAATGGGCTGCAGCGTGAGAAGGGTGCCGCCCGGATTAATGTAGAAGGTGGCAGTCCCAATAGCCAACGCGATTTGTTTTTGCGGCAAACCTTCGATTTCATGTGGGGCGGCTGAACGTAAACATGCCGATGCGCCGCTGTCGAGCAGCGCAAGACTTGTCTCCCCCGAATATCCATCACACGGTGGACTCGCAGCTACACACACCTGCCCCTCAGGCTCAAACAGGCGCTTAAGTTTGATGGACCTAAGAAGATCAGTTGCTTCCTTAACCAGATCAGAAGTATCAACCGGAGTGGAGGAAGCTAAAGCTTCTGTCGACGCAGCGGCATTTGTCGCCACAGAATCATCCTGAACTTCAGCCTTTCGCGTCTTACCCCCTTTATCTCCACCTTTCTCCCCCGGGCCCTTAGCCTTACCCTCACCTTTGGCACTCGACTTGGGAGCGGCTTTCGGTCGAGCCGCGGAGCTCGGAGAGGATGGCCCCTTTGGGTACGGGCAGTCCGGTCTAACATGATCATCAGCACTACAGTTGTAACACATGCGCTTGTCACCAAACACCTCCTCCGAATGTGCAAATTGGCATTCCGCTCCATACTTGCATCCACCCGGCTTGCCCCAGTGTTTACACGGCGTTGTGGGTTTGGATGGCTGGGTTTTGGATTTTGCATTCTTACCACCACCTTTACCACCCTTATCACCCTTATCACTGCCTTTATCACCAAGTTCACCTTCGGCCCTTGCTAGCCTCGCCCGTTTAGGAGAGGTCGATGCACTATTGCCTTGACCTTCCTGTTGCGTTCCCCCTAGCTCCACCGCAAGATTGGAGTACGCATGCTCAAGCTCCGCCAAAATCAGATTAGCCAGATCAAACACCGACTCATGGGTTGGATGATAATCCAGCTTGCGACTCTCACGATACATCCCAAGCCTAAACTGCATCTGGGGCAAACTATTCACCAGCCGTTTAATCAAGATGTCCAAACCAGCCAACTGTAGCGTGCTGTCGGGAAGCTCTGCGGCGAGCTCTTGGATGCGACGCCTATACCTCATCCACTTTTTTATGGCCTGAACGCCATCAGATACAGTGGTCGGTACAGCCGGATTTATCAAGAAGCTAAGCATCGCACTCTTCTCAGCACTAGACCCAGGCTGATACCGCGTCAACAGAAGGAACAGCACTGAAGCTACAGACATATATCGCTGCTGCACTGCATCGTCTTTCATGGCTTCGGGGACTGCCTTCAGGATCATGGTGTAAACGCGCGGCTCAAGAAGACTATACTTCCCTCGGCCATGCGTAACCGCTCCTGGATCCGGGACCATACCGATACGATCAATCGGTGAAGCTCGAAGCCACGCATCATAAGCATCGAACGCTGATTTGCGAACCTCCCCCCACCACACATGAGCAGACATAGACAAGCTACTGATTACCGGTGTTATTATGGCCAGCCAATCACCTATAATGGCCGCAGCTTCACCGGAGGAGCCTGCGGAGAGAGACGGAAGCTCGACTGCATGCTTCTCTAATCGCTCCGGCTCTGCTTCGCTGCTCGGGAATGGCAAAGGTGGTATCGGGGTTCCTCCAGGCGTACAGTTATGCCTAGCAGCATCTGTTGGGGCGCGAGGGGTTACTGGTGCAACATGCGAGTCAGGCCTAGACGGTGGTGGTGGTGGAGGCCTAAATGGAGATACAGCTCGGGCACCGAAAGGATTGGTCGCATCATGTACTGCAGTCTCGAGTGCCGTCCCCAGCGCTGGCACCGTAGGCGGCGGTGCTGGTGCTGCTATTCCCCCTGGCTCTCCTATACGCGGTCTATCACCTATGAAGAATGTAGGAACACCTTGATCTACGACTTCTATTCCACCACTCTCATTAACCCGTGCCTTACGCATCACACCATCCACCTTGACCCACACTACACGGTCTGCATTCGGGCTTATCTGAACTGCGACGGTATATGTCCCGACCCATACGGCAACCCAGGTGTACTGACCTGCAGTGCAGGAGGGCTCATGCTGGCATTCGCTCCCCGCCAGCTTTGCACAGGATCAACCGCTTCACTCGGAAAAGCGGGTGCAGAAGGAAAGGATGGGATTACAGGATGGGGCTGACTTGGATTATCCACCACTCCAGTGCTCAGCCTACTCGGAAATCCGAAACCCGCACTAAAGTCAACGGGGACTCCACCTGCCGCAATCGCTGCTCGGCTTTCTGGGCCACTTATCTCGGGATGAAAGGGGCCAGGCACCATCGACTTGCTATGGAAAGATATCAATGGCGGCTGATTCGCATCAGGACGATTGGGTACAGACGAACCTACTCCTACACTGGTATACCCTATCGAACCATAACCCCTATCGAAACCCAATGGCCCCAAGCCAGCTGGATCTATGGCCGTTCTCATTGACTCGGACGACTGCGAGCGTGATTCCATGCGATCCATCCTCTTCATAAGAACACTAAGCATTTCAACTATTTGATTCTGGGTTGCGTTATCGTTCAGCCTACCACTCGGAGCTGCATCAGACCCTGGAGTAGCATTATGTCCGGCTGCTGGCACACTCGGAACACCTGAATCTTCCGACTGCTGCACACACTCCTCACCTAAAGAAGCCTCTGCCAACCCAGCTCTGACCAATCCACGGATCGACGGCATACCAGCTGCATCACGCGACAACTGGCTGGCTGCATCATCCAGGAAATCTGGCCTCATCTGCTGTAAGTGAAATTCTGTCTGAGCTCTCTCACTCCAGAAAGGATTGCTTTGTACCACTTGCTTCGATCTATCAATATCTCCCTCAGACGGACCAGGCGATTCGTGAAGACGAAGACTTCCACCCGCTTCAATATCACGCGTCGCGCCCAGTCCGGTAACTTGTGTCTCGTGATGTCCAGATTGCGTCGCGCCGAATCCGGTGTTATGCGTCTCATGTTGTCCAGATCGTGTCAAAGCCATAGCCTCATCATTTCCAGCTGTCCGGTCATGAGGTTGATCTTGTAGCGCAGGTGCTGTCCTTGGGCTCATAACCCGTGGATCAGCTGATGGGTTGGCCATGGCTGGAGATCAGAACGACGCACTCCTTTTGAACGATCGCAAAGAAATGACAGGTAAGTCTGAGGAATTTCGGTCTTATGGGTTCTGTTGTTGATAGGCCAGATGCTCCATGATAGTATGCCATGCTCACGATGTGGTCGAAGCTCCCCTCTCTAGTGTATGGCTATAATTAGTTTTGCGAACATGCTCTCTTACGGAGGGCGCGAGCACACCATTTTAGGAACTGCGCATGCACATGTTTGATGAGTGCAATGCAGGATAGAGTCGGTGCAGTTCGCAGTGCACGATTCAAGAAGTCATATGCTTGTCTCTGACTTGCAAGCATGACTCAGTTCGCTTTTACACGGCGAGACTTCGTATGGTATTTGGCTCAAGAACGCGAAAAGGATCCGAGAGCTGTTTGACAACTTTGGTTTCTTGCGACTGGGAGTGTTTGGGGTTGTGACGACGACACAGAGGCCAACGGCCTCTCCGTGCAGAACATAACATCCCCAAACCCTTAACAGCGAATACCTTGAAAGCTTGTGTTGCCTTGACTCTTTCGAGTCGTGCCAGACTGCTGGGGCCTTCTGGTTTAATCTCGGGTTCGTAGTCTTGAGGATTTGCGGGTAGGAAGGTCAACACGTGTTGCCCGGGCCGGTACTTTCACTTCCGTGATCCTTTGAGCGCCGTGAGTGTGATAATGCAGAGCGATGTGGATGAAGATGCCACTAACCCGTATCATACGCCTCGGAGGGGACAGCGTGCCCTAACGAATATGCCTGATCATTATAGTCCTGTGACAGACACCATGAGTCCAGATCAGAATGCAAGGGCATTGACATCAATAGCCGGTGCTCATAACCAACAGGTTATGAGCCCAAGCGGCTCCGCACAACCAAGCGTGCCTCCGTTCCCCACGGCAGCAGGGCCGTCAGCACAGTTCGGAGGCATTCAGTTCATGCAAGCAACCCGGCTGGAGATCCCGACGTCAATCCTTCAGCAGTTTGCACAGGCAGCTTCGCTGGATGCTTCTATGCTCCATGACCTGAGAGCAGCTGTCATTGAACTGAATGATCGTATGCAGTATAGATCCAACGTTTTGGGAGATGCATGCGTAACGCTCCACTCTGGATACAATGCCATAGTGGATAACCTGGACAGGCTCCAACAAGGAATGGAGGCCCATAGTCGTACTTTGGCCTTTCTCATGAATGAAAACCTGTCTTTAAAGCAAGAGATAGAATCCACCGGTGAGCAGCTCAGCACGGACATGCGACAACAGTTTGCAATCGTTCGCGAGCAGTTGAGTGCGGTCCAGATAAAGGCGGAAACGGCCATGATGGGCCCGCAACAATGGCAAGCCCAGGTTGAGGCACACATTGTAACAATTCAAAACAACCTTGAGGCTGGACTCCGGAAGGCCAGTTCTGAGAATGAGACCCTGCGATCTCGTGTTGGTGTGCTTGAACAGGCAAATCAAGAGCGGGAGCGGGAGTGGCAAACTTTGAGGCAGGAGCATCGCGCTTCAGCTGATCAGAAGGGCTGCGACTCAACTGAGGTCCGCACTCAGGTCGATGAACTGTGTGCTACTATGACAGATCATGGGCAGCGCCTCGATGTGATTTCCCGGGATGTTGCAGATCTGCATGCTTCAGTGGCAGAAGTAGAATCATCAGTGTCTCATTTGGAGGGTCACAGCGCGACCATCCGAGAGGAGATCAGGGGTTTACATCAGATTTGCGAGCATTTTGCCGTCTACACAGATGAGGAACCTGTTGTTGGTGATCCGGGGATGGAAGATTATGAAGCAGGGTGGTGGGGTCAGCATAATGATGTAGATGCGATGCCACAGGGTCCGCCGCCTGGCTTCGGGGATCAGCCGCTGCACCCACCGGGGACCACACAGATCCCGCGCAGAATGTGCCACAGGCGGCGCAAACTGCGTTCATGCCAGAATTCAGACCTTCAGGACCAAGTGATCACGGAGGTAACACGAGCATCCATCACGGTCGGTGGAAGCTACTTCAGGATGTGCCTGCGTTGAGGTTAGGAGCTGGAGAGCCTTGGGAACAAGGTATGAAGCTTCGGACCTGGTTCAAGCAGGTTGAGACTATTGCGGGAACAATTGCCGAATCATTCGGGGTTTATGTAAAGCAGCAGTTTAGGCTAGCAGATGATCGGCACAAGCAAAGGTTGGCAGGTTTGCACCAGTTGGATCCACCACCAAGGGTCCCACAGGAGGACTCGGAGAGTGAAAACCGGCTCGTGCTACTGCTGATCCGTTGTGTGCCCGCTGAGTTGAAGCAGAATGTCCTTGAAAAGGGAGATGAATCAGAACCGATGCGTGCAATTGCACTCCTTGAAGGGGTATTAGAAACATTGCAACCAGGTGGCGCTGCAGAAATGCAGTCGTTACAAGCTTTCGTTCGGAATCTGAGACCTGTTGGCACTGCAAAGGAGGGTCTGAGTGTGCTCCGACGGTGGCGGCTAGCAAGATCTAGGGCCATAGCATTGGCGCTCCCCCAGGTTGCCCCATTTGAGGAGCTTGGAGCGTTGGGAACACTTGCCCAGACTCTGGAGAAGCGTCATGACCGATTGCGTACCATGCTTAGTCTGCTGCGAACTAGGCCGGAAATCATCCGGCCAACCCCCGAGGGAGTAGACATGATGATCAGCCTTTTGGACCAGCAGTTTCAGCTACTCCATGCCGATGAGCAGGTAAAAACGAGTCGCGGTCGCGGCCAGGAGGATGATCTCGATCCAACGGCAAAGAAGGGCAAAGGCAAGGACGGAAAAGGCAAAGGCAAGGGTAGCAAGGGTACGGGTAAGGATTCAGGTTCAAAAGATGTGAAGCAGGAGTGCATAGCGTGGAAAACTACGGGAAAGTGTAGATTTGGCGACAGATGCCGATTCACGCATGGTAATCCACCAGCCCCTGGGGGCGCTCCACCACCCAAAGCAAGCCCAACTCCTAAACCCAAGGCTGCCCCAGCTGTAGCTCCGTCGCAACAACCTTGTCTTGCTTGGAAAAAGAATGGGAAGTGTAGGTTCGGGGACAAGTGCAAATATTCGCATGATGGAGAGGCTAAGCAAGCCACGGCAAAACCACAGGGAGCAACCACCACTACCGCGAGTCCATCAGAACCCTTAGTAGGAGCCGTAGCAAAGGCCTCAGCATGCATCACCCGATCTAGGGCTATGAAGGTTATTAGTGGTCTTGAGGAACCGGGTCCAGTAGATCTGTCAAGTGAGGGTGAAGAGTCGCCCGAGCCGTCCGAGCCAGCACCGAGTGAGGAGGAGTCTGAAGGTGTAGAATCAATTCCGGAGGCCGGTGGCCCGCTCTGGGTTCTTGACTTGTCCCTACGGGATTACATCCATTGGACGCGCCCATCGCAGACTCAGGTGTGTGCAGACCGAGATTTTCGTGAGGAGGAGAATCCTAACTCCATTGTGTGGGCAGTCTGGGATACGATCATTCATGATGAGCTAGATGTAGATGAAACGGGCACCATACCCATCGCGGAGGGAGTGTGCATGATCAAGTGTGATACCACAGTTGTCCTTTGCGAAGATGGGGTTGGAAGGCCCTGCTTTGTGGTTTGGATTCAGGAGGAGAGTTCAGGTCGGGAAAGGCAGCTTGCTTTGGCCCAGATACAGCACCGACCAAGGGTGCGACGCTGGCCCGAGATCCCCGATCCCCATGTACCTGAACTTGCGTATCGTAGGCCCCCGGAACCCAGCAAGGCGGCTCCAGCAAGAGCTCCCGATGCCGCGTCCGCTTACGTGAGGGGCGCTCCACCGGCAAAGGCGCCTACTGTGGTCCTGCCACCAGCACTCCGAACATCATCATCATCGTCCTCTTCACACGACCATTCCAACCAGAATCCTCATGCAGCCCAGGCAAGCAGCACTGGTAGGTGTGAGGAGGAGCGATGTGTTCTTGCGGACACCGGTGCAAATGAGCTTATCAGGCCCGTCGGTCCCCAACCACCCGCAAGGTCTAGTCAGGTTCGCCTCACGCTAGCCGATGGCAACACTACATGTGCATGGCGTACGAGGGACGGTGAGCTTGCAATGCCTGGTGATGAGACCTCCTGGATTGTCCCTGTAGGTAGGCTGGTGCAGCTAGGCTATAGGTTTGTCTGGGATCTGGATTTGGGTGCTAGGTTAGTGCGGGAGACTGAAGCTGGATGTGAAACCATCCACATGTTCGTCGACAATGGCTTGCCTTACATTTACTGGTCGGATTTTGCCCACCTTCGCAAACAGCTGTCAGCCGCTTTCCGAAACCAGAAGAGGAGCTGCTGTGCCGTCGCGAGTAACGAGAGCGAGCTTATGAACATGTTTGTAACACCGGATGATTTGCATGAGTGTGAGGCTGAGGCTAAGGAGTGTGTGTCCCCAGATTCCAAGGCATGCATTGGAGAGCAAGTCGCAGCAGCCTTCTTGAAGCTTGAGAGCATCACATATGACCATGTTTTGGAGGCTGTCATGAAGGCGGGTTTGAAACCTCAGAGCAAGTCGAGATCCTGTGCTGTAGGTCTTGAGGGTTCAGAGGGCATAAAGTCATGGGTGTTTGGTGCTTACGGTCATGGCCCGCACTGCGGCGTGACAACGCGAACCAATCAATTCCCGAACCTTGTTGCCTTGATCAATCGCTTCATGCAGCAAGAGATGCCCGCTGCATCCTGGTCGTCTTTTACCATATCCCAAGACGTTACCTTTACCCCGCATAAGGACACCCATAATGAACCTGATTCCCTAAACGTGCTTGTCGTGCTGAACCACAAGGGCCAGTGCAAGGGCGGCAGTTTGTGGATTGAGCAGGAGGATGGCGATCAAATGCGCCAGATCAAGCCGGATCTGAATCTTCGGGGTGTTGTCATGCCGGTGCTAAGGCGTCCAGTGCAGTTCAGTCCAACAAAGTGGCATGGAACCACGCCTTGGAAGGGCACACGCGTAGCATTGTCATTTTTCACGACTAGGAACGTGCTTACCTTGCCGGCAGATGAACAGAGGCGATTGAAGGAGTTGCACTTTCCAACCTGCGAGGCAGTTGCTGCTGCGGCCGAACACATCGCATTCCCCCTAAGCCTGAACCCCGCCGATGACCAGTTTCCTGAGGACCTTGAAGCCAAGACGACGGACGCGACGGTAGGCGAGGGTCAGTTCAGGGAGAATGTGTCGGATGAATTCCAGGATGGCGGGTTGTTTGGAGATGTGTTTCAGGGTCTAGCTGATCCCGATGGTCCGCCCGCGAGCTCCGACATGTGGCCTTTGGATGACGATCTAGCGGAGTATGAGCCTTCGCTTGCAGATCCTGAGGACATTTTCCATGCGAGTCAATTCGATGATCAACCTGGTGAGGCAAGTTCCCGGGAGTTTGCGTTGCCTGCGGCTGCGCCGGAAGCTCCGAAAGAACCTGTCAAGGCGAAACCGGGTCACACACTTGACGATTACCGTGCTAGAGGAACCAAGAAGCCGCACCGCAAAGTGCAGCCGTCCGATGTTGCAAAGGGGGTCCTCTCTCTGGATATTGCAGGACCATACAAAGGTGCACATGATCATTCCAAGTACATCCTTGCAGGTGTGTTCAGACTTGAAGATGGTGCCACTCTCCAATTTGTCCAGCCACTGCAACGCAGATTCTGGTCAGATGTTCTCAGTGGAGTACGTGGTATCTTGAATGAGCTTTCGGCGATTGCTGGTGGGAAAGCGCCTGTTCGGATCCATTCAGACCGTGCCAAGGAATTCCTGGCTCGACGTGTGGTTGAGGAAATCAAAAAGGCGGGAATCCATCAGACGAGCACCGTTGGACACGATCCAGCTGCTAATGGTGTTGCGGAGAGAAACATTGGATTGCTCAAGCAGCGAGTACGTGAGTTCATCATCAAGGGCGAAGCGCCTTCAAAATACTGGCCAATTTTGTTTCAGGAAGCAGCGAGGCAACAACGTGACTTGACATTGGGAAAATCGTGGCAAGGGCAGGTACCATATCCAGGTGACCACGTGGCTGTCAAGATCAACGATCCGGGCCCGCTTGACGTTCGTTCTGAAGCAGGTATTTTCTTGGGTCGGGCTGACCGGTTTACCAATGGTGCTTATGTCGAAGTCAGAAGGAACGGCAAGAGCCTTGTCGTGGTTACTCGACTCCCTGCTATCACCAAGGAGCCAGAACGACGATGGAGAACATATGAGTCTCTGTCAGGTGATCTCCTCTGGATCTCAAGCGACGGCCAAGTGCGAGATGCGGATACTATCAGGGATCTGGGCATTGACCTGGGCATCTTGACGGTTGAGGAGGTCCAGAGCGGTCAGAGTCCCTTAGACGGGTATCCACTGGCAGCAGTTGCTACGTCATCATCCCAAATGAAACAACCTGCCCCTGAACATGGCGATAAGGCTGTGAACTGGCAGAAGTATCATCTGCTTTCCTATGAGGAGGAGCAGTTGGCGAATCAAGTCGAGGAGAAGCTACTGGAAGCGAGCACAGCGCCGGCTCAAGCGGAGACGGTGGACTTGAAGGGTTTCTATAAGGGTGACAGACAGCAGCAGTGGAAAGCCTCACTTGTGAAGGAGTATGGGAAGATGAAAGATGTCCTTGAGGAAGCGACCCGGGATCAACTACATGGCAGATTGGGCCTGCCTGCGGGGACCCGCTTACCTCGTGAAATCCCTTCTAAGGTTGTGGCAACACTCAAACCGAGCGAGGACCCGACGTTGGCCAACGAGGATGGGTTTGCCGAGAAAAGCCGAATATGCGCTTGTGGCAACTTTGAATCAGGAGCTGACAACAATGGTGAACCTTGGACGTCTTCAAACATCCCACCTGAGATTGTGCGGACTTTCGTGTCATTGGCTGCATCAACGGAGAATTGGACTTTGGGGGGCTTGGATGTCGAGGCCGCCTTTCTGAACGCCGACATTTCCTCCGGAGATCCTGTGATTATTACTCCACCCAAAGTTATGCGAGACCTAGGGCTCGTTGGTGCAGAAACGGTGTGGATAGCGCGAAAGAACATCTACGGGCTCCGTCGGGGCCCGACCGAATGGGAGAAAGAGCGCGACACGAAGATCAATCATGCAACCATCCAGGGCTCCAAGGGCGACAATCATTCAGCACTGACTTTCATTCCGATCAACCTTGCCGCTGGCCTGTGGAAGCTGGTAGATGAGAAGGGTGTGGTCGTTGGAGCGTGCTGTTGCTATGTCGACGATGGTCTGGTCGTGGGCGATGTGGAAGTGATCCGAAGAGTCACTGCTTTCATTCAGAGTTTGTGGTCTATCAAGGGTCAGGGTATTCTTGAGAAACCAGGGGTAGGACTTAGCGGAAACCTCGTTGTGAGTGAAACCTTGACCTTGAAGCTCGTTCGGTGCATGCGATTCCTCGGTGCAGAGATTGCTGTGGCGAGTGATGGATTGCAGATTGGACAGGCAAAGTATGTGGCACAAGAACTTCGGGCTCGAGGGTGGCTCACGCTCAAGGGGTCAGAATCACTACCGGTACCATCGGAGGGCCTTGCGGCGTCTGAGATCCGAGACAATGCGTTCGAAGCTAACATGAAACTGGCCCAAAAGGAAGCTGGAACCTTGATGTGGATTGCACTCCGATCCAGGCCGGACATTGCTGCTTGCTTAGGTGTAGCCAGTACTTTGATCACTTCCAGGCCGTCCGAGAGTCTGCGATTGTGCAAGGGAATCTGGCGTTATCTTCGAAGCACTTGGGACAAAGTGATTCAGTACAATTACGGAGGTCCCAAGGGTCCAGACGACGCGATGAATGATCCATCAGT